CTCTCTCTCACTCTCTCTCTGTCTCTCTTTGTTCTCATGAACTCTTTTGCAATTTACAAGGTAAATTAGCAGCTCCACAATGGGAATGCACAGCATATGCAACAATTAAACAATTCATTTATCTTAATTTGTCTGCAATTTCTCTTCGATTCTTTGCCTCGCTCTCGCTGTCTCGCTCGCTCGTACGCTTAGCATCTCTCTTGCCCAGCTGTCTGCGACGGCGCATTGTGAGATGTTAAAAAATTTGAAATTAATTGCAGCGCCTGCTGCTCCTCAGATCTGCGCCTCTGCCCCTGCCCTTGCCCCTGCTCCTGCTCCTGCCGTGACTTGTGGGACCCGGCTCTGACCTGGCCTTTGACGCCCTTGCCGATGCGTTGGCCGCTTGGTGTTTTCATATTTTGTGCTGTGTCATAATCTTCACACCCGAGTCGCAAGGATCTCATGCAGCCGAGAGAGATCACCCTGCACGCTGGCGTTGATGATCTTTGGCTGTAATCTTTTTTAAATTTAAGCCAATTCGGCGTAAACCGTTAACGGCACACCGCAGGCGTTGCCCATTTGTTCAGAGCCCGTTGTCCACGGCCCATTGCCCATGGCCATGGCTCATGGGCTCATGGTCCATAGCCCATTGCTCATGGCCCATGGCAACTCATTGCCCATTCCATATGGCCCAATGGCCATTGGCCATAGCCGATTGCTCAAAAGTATTTGCGATGCTATCGCCTTTGGTCGTTGCGCTGTGTTAATATTTGCTCATGATGATCGGCTTTTAAGGATGGTCCGATGGTCCGATGGTCCGGGCTGCGAGGGCATGGCCCGGGTGTTGCCGCTGTCTGAGTTAATGCTGAGAAAACCCTAATTACCGCATTAAGGTGTCAAAATGATGACCATCTCTCCAGACTCTTTGCCATTCTGTTCTCAGCTCCGTCAGCTCTGACTGCTCCGACTGCTCTGACTGCTCCGTCTGCCCGCTCCTCCTTCCAGCAACAATGTGGCAAATTTAATGAATATGTCAAGTAGTCAGCGCTCAACGTTCAGCGCTCTGTGGGCCAGTGATAAATCGGCTGGCGGCTTAGAATGCTGGGAAACATTGGCAAACGGCAGCAGCTCAGAGGTAGCATCGCAGATCTCTTCATCTGCTTCTTCTTCTTCTTCTTGCCGCACAGATCTCTTTTTCTTGACAGTGAAGCGTGGCTCACACTCTCTGTATGGCCAAGAATGAATAAGCTCAGCTGTATTTGATATTCCGAAATTATGAGAGATTACAGTAAAGTTTCCATATTTAAGTATTACACAACACTATATAACGTAAGACCTTAACCAATATAATTTTGTAAAATAAAATAATACGAAATAATACTCAGAAATAAAGTGTAAATATACATTTGTATCATTATGTAAACAATAATAAATCATAAATAACAAAAATTTGAATATTAATGAATGTACATTAGTTAAGAGAGACAGATTAAAAGATCGATCGATTCATATAATTTACATGAGCAGACACCGTACACGCCCTATAATTTTATTTATTTATGTAAATCAGTTTGAATATCTTTTCAATTTTATTAAAAGGAAACGCTAACTGTATATCAATAGATCTTAAGTTGCTCTATATATAAAGTACATCTCTAATGGCTAGTGGGCTGGCCAAGTGCAACACTTTTTGGCCACTTTCCAATAAACTCTTTCCGAACGTTTAGTGCAGGCCAAGCCTCAAATAAAGACAACAGGTCATTTCCCATACCCCATGCCGATGCCCATGTCCATCTCCATGCCCATGCCCATTCTCAGTCCCATTCAACCGGAACGTGCATGGCCAAAGCGATTGAGGAGTGAGCTGCAAGCGAACCCAAGCCCAAAAACGAACCGATCAAGCGGACCAAGTCCGAACCTTTTTCCCTTTTGCCACATTCTCCTCTGTCTCTGTCTCTGTCTCCCTCACTCTGACTCTGCCTTCTTTTTTGCGCCTGGACCTGCAGTCGAAATGGGTTCCAGTCGCAGGTCTTGGGCTCGCTCGGTTTTAGTTTGAGTTTGCGTTTGCGTTTGAGTTTGAGGTCCAGGTCCAATCGCCAGGTCCGTCGGTCGTTCGTTCCATTTTAATAACATTAATTAAGGTGTTGCCTTCGTTGGTGTTCTTCACGCCTTTCCTTACAAATTACGCAGGAATTTCATGTTTCAGGTTTTGTTCTCCGGTAGACGTCGCTCGAGCGGTCTTAATAGTTGTTCTTTTAGCGCCCCGTCTGCACATCTTCTCATCTCTCTCACTCTCTCCCTCTCTCTCTCTCTATCTTGCTCTTGCTTGAGCAGCTCACTCACTGGACTTTGACTGCAATTTGGCTAAAAATTGTTTGCAGTGATCAGCGTCTCTGATATCGGGCATAGGTAGTGCTTCGAAGTATCGATGCAGTAGGTGTGTAGGAGCTTAAAAATTGAGCCATTATGGGAAAGTTTTCGGTTTGTTTGGCTAAGCGTGGTTGCATCTGGCGCCATTTTAAGCGCCACTTGAAACAGACAAAGCCGCCGAAAAGAACTTTGATCTAGAAGTGGAATAAAAATGCATTTTTTATTAACATAAAATGCACATTTATAAGCCAGCTGAGCAGCCAGAGCAGCTGAGCGGAAGAACAGAAGCGAACGAGCGACGAGGATGGGCCCACCGGCCAAGGTCAGTTTGGGGTCAATGGCATAACACTAGGTGAGTATATGTATAGAGAGACAGAAACAGAGAGAGAGAGAGAGAGAGGGAGAGAAGGAGAGGGAAAGAGATGAGAATGTGATTTTCAGAGCGCCAGCGCCAGGGCCAGCGCCAGTTTAGTTTGTTAGATGGATGACTAATAAGCGTCGCCACAATTAATTGAAACCCACTGATACGCATCTACCGAATGGCTCCAGATACAAGCAAATCTCATTAACGCGCCCAAGATAAAGCCACTGAATCTGTATAGCGGAGCGGGGACCCCAGGCGACACGAGTATCTCACCATACATTTTGTTCAGTCAAGTGTACGATGGCCATGCGATGCGATGGCGATGCGATGCGATGCCATTCGATGCGATCCGATCGGTCGATCGACCAGGCCGCAGACCCAGACGCGACTCGGGCTGGAACTGATCCCATTCGAGCCTTATAAATGCATGCAGATACAGTTTTGGAAGTCAAGCGGTTTGCATTTGTACGATAAATAAAATGAATGCGATTGTTAATTAGTTGTTGCTGTAGAGCCAAAGAGGCTGTTGCTGCTGCTGCTGCCGATGCTGCTGCCACTGCTTCAGCTGTTGTATCTTATCGCTGGCATGGGCTTGTTTTTCTCCGAGATTGACCTGGCCCAGTCAGTAGGCAAATGGAATGGAATTCGGGCATGTTGGGCATCTTTTGGCTTTGCGTTGTTCGAATATCAGACTTTAAGCCAGCTTTGGACCGCGGATGCAAAGCTGAGATTATCGACTCGAAATAGTTGAGCTGCAGTTCTTGGCCGATTGAGTTTCGAGTGGGCTTAGCTTAAATATGTTCCAAGTGGAACTTAGTCATAGTTTCTGTTAATTAAAAAGTATGTAAATATGTATGCAAAGGTATTATGTCTAAGATAAGATATTATTTCTTAAAATGTTTGCTAGAATAATGAATAATATTGTAATATATATTAGCTTTCATAGCTTATATATAAATGTGTTATTCTATATAGACCTATATTGGTTAAGCTGCAAAATTGATTTTAGAATTATTATTAAATGATATTAGTAATTTATACAATAATATGTCGTAAATATGTTGAAATAAAATTGTTTAATAAAATTCCAAAGCATTATTTATTAAATAATAAACATATCAGTAAAACTTTATACAAATTAAAATAATATTAAATCCAAAATAATAATAGAAAAAATAAAAATAAAATAAATAATTTCATATATGTATATGCATATTAAAAAAATATTTGTTTGTATTTTAACTAATAAAAAAGTTCCCTTCAGCGAATTTCTCATTTAAAATAAATTCGACTTAAAGCAGCTCAGCTTAACTCAGCTCAACTTAATCACAATTCCAATCACTTTATCATTGATTTCGTTGCTGGATTTAATTACATGCATTAGACGACATCTATTTGATTTTTGAAATTATGCATTCAAATCAATGAACGAACAATCGGACGATAATTTATGCACGAAGGCAAATCAATTTTCAGTTTTTTGTTCGGATGCGATTTTTGTTTTGTTGCTGCTTAGGCAAATATCTGTAGATTTTAATCTCGTGTCGACAACAATAAAATTGTGTTAATTTATGGGAGAGCCATTGGTCTGGCACAGAGATACAGAGATATAGACGTAGATATGCGCTACTGTTAGTTGACAATTCGTTTGTGAATGGCTACAGATACAGCTACAGCTACAGCATCAGATACAGCTACAGCTTCAGATACAGATTCAGATACAGCTTCAGATACAGATACAGATACAGATACAGATACAGATACAGATACAAATACAGCTATAGCTAAAGCTAATCGAAGCTGAACTTGTTTTTCAATCGGTTTGTGATGTTGTCTTCATTAAATTACGTTTAATCATTTATGCAGATTTCAATCAATGGGCAAAGCGATTTCAGATACATTTCCGTTTAGCATAAAGCCAAAGTTTATTTCATTTTACCTGCTTTGATATTCAATTTGTTGCAATTAATTGAAATCTCTTAAACTGAATATCTAGAGAGAGTAGAATGTTTGATATACCTACATATATGAGAAGCATAGCTGAGAGACATGCTAAATCAGTTGGAAGATTTATTATTTTGTAGTAAAAGTTAATTTAAATATATTCTAATAAATGCCCGAATTTTTAAAATTTTTTTTTTTTCAATGAAATGTAATTGAAGCTCTTTTGAGTAACTTCTAATTTTAGTCAGCATTTTCTTTTATGTTAATAATTAAAAATAATAATAATAATAATTAAAGTGAATATCTAATGTATTTTAATGTAATATAAATTCCAATTATTTGCTTTGTTTTTCTTGCATGTTCTTTATTAAGACTATTTACAGGCTTACATGGTTCATACTATTGAGGATATACAAGTAGTATTTACAGCTAGTTTGGCCTAGAGCCTGGCTATAATAAAATCGTTTACATAGTGTTTGTGTGTTTTTCTTTGTTTCACATCTCTCTACTCTCTAGTGTTAGTTAATACTTAAATGTGGACTGCAGCAAAACATGGTGTGTTTCAAACTGTTGTTTATCACGCGAAATGGAAAGCTTTCAAATGTGTTCATGACTATGCCGAGACTGTAACCCCAAAAATCAAATACCCGTGCCCCCCGCCCCAACTCCCACTCCCACTGCTGTAACCGTGCCCATCTAGAGACAGGTGTTAACCTCACGGTGCTCCAGGCACTTCTCGCACGTCACCTCGCAGCACCATTTGAAGACGCAGTTGCAGTTGGTCCACTCGGTAACGACGCGATGCTTGTGCCCCCGACTGCAGCAGAGCTGATCGCAGCTGTCGGGGCCCGTCGAGGTGGCATTGCACTCCCTGTCCTGGGTGCCCAGCGCTCCGGTCTTCGGGTTCGCTGTGCAAAAGTCGGGCGAGTCGTCGGCATAGACCAGCTGGTATTTGTTCGCCGGCTTCGTGTGCGGCGTCTCGGGCATAAAGCTGTTGCCATCGTTCCGTAGCGCCACCTTGCGCGCCCCATCGTACCTATCGCGCAGTCGTGCCGATATCTCACGAAACGGCGGCATCTTCAGCCAACAGGTTTTCACCGTGCACGACCCGGACAATCCATGGCATTTGCACTCCAAGCGCATCGCATCGCGTATCGCCTGTTAAAGTGAATAGAGAGAAGGTGGGTAGAAAGTTTAGAGACTTTTTAAAATCAATTGATGAGGATATTTCTCAGATGAACAGTCGTCATCACACTTTTGTTCTATCAATTTGAGATTAAAGATAAGTTTATAAGAATGAAGTATATAAAGAATATTATCACTAGATAGGGCTTTAGGATATTTATAGTTTCAGTTTTTTTTTAATTTCTGACCAAGTATCGTAGATCAACTGTAGGGTTCTCTAAACAGCCTTTTATATATTGTTGTCTTTGCCCCAAGAAAATTTCTATATATGCACTTCATAAATATCGAATCATATCATAATTGTAACTGGGAAAAGTCTTTCTATTTTTTGCAAAATAAATAAAGGCAGTTTGTAAGCCGAAAATATTAATCCTAATTAATCATAAAGAGATATTCTTTAAAGCTTTCCTAAAATCAAGTCCTCAAGCAATTCGAAAAACGATTGATTGTATGAAGTTAGGGCAATTGAATGTAAGAGAAATTATAGAGAGATATACAGAATATACATGATCTAAAAAAGATATATTTTTTTATATACCATACCTAAAATTTTAAATTTTGGTTACCATTCTCTATCACTTTATCATATCACATATATCACATATAAAATTCGTGATCTTTTCTTATGTCAGATAACAACAAAATACCTTTAAGCTTGATGCTCAAGGGAATCAATCGTTTTATCTTAACATCAGATCAGTGAGAAGACTAGTTACACTGAAGCCAGCAGTCTAAGACTCTGCTATGCCCAGATATGTCAGAAGTTGATAAGGTTCTTCCTCAAGCTCAGCTTACCAATCTTCCCGCATTGTTGTTGTGCAGCTTGACCAGTGTGCCCAGATCGCTGCGTCGCTGCCGCTGCTTGGCGTCGAGGAAGGCGCGCGAGTGCCGCAGCCCGAAGTTCACATTGTCGCTGCAGCCGCCCCACTCCCACTCGCCCTGCGGAAACTTAATGTTGTCCCAGAACTTGCGTCGCCCCCGCCTGCCGCCCGGCCGATGCCCGTTGCGTTGTCTGTCCAGCGAAAGATCCGTTATGCTGCTGCTGTTTCTGTGGCTGCGCTGTGGCAGCTGAAGTTGCTGTTGCCGCAGCATTGCCGCCTGCTGCTGCCGCTCGAGCGCTGCCTCCGCCGTTGCTGCATTCACCATTTGGGGCTGGCCGCCATTGCGGCGCATGTGCGACTTGTCGCAGGAGCACTCCACCAGCTGGCCCATGGTGCAGGCCTTGGTCACTGCATAGGTAACGCCCGCCGCCGTTATGGCATTCACAAAGCCCGTCTCCCGGGAATCTATGCGGGAGTGGAAAGAGATGATAACAAAGTTTAGTAAAGGGCAGCATAAAGGGCATCTGTAATGACTGTGGATACAGATAAATATGTATACATAGTTCGTGGGAATATAAATAACAAATAATAAAATAAAAAAATCGAAAACTTCTATAAGTAGTGTAGCTTATTTATGATATAGAATTGAAGCGGCCAATAGCTGCCGGTACTTAGGAATATATTTAGGGAAAGAACTGACTTTCAAACATAGCCAAAATAAATACAATTATTCCATCATTATACCCCAAAAATGAAATATCTACATTATCAACAAAAAATAATAATAATATCTAGATATACTATGATATTTAAAACAATATTCACACCAATATTCATATAGAGTACTCAAATATAAGTTACTCGTAAAGTTAAATTTTCCTTATGAATCAAAATTTTGTAAGAATTAAAAAAAAAATAAATAAATAAATAAAAATTCTGAAAATCCCTAGCAAAATTATAAATATCTCAATTAAAAGGCAATATCTTAATAAACAAAAAAAAAATTCTTATCATATTAAATTTATATCATAAGTTTCATACGATTTCTAAAAGATGGTTTAAGGGAAATAATGCAACAAAATAAAATAAAAATAAATATATATGATATGGATATGTTGCCTTACAGCTAGCCTCATTAGCAAACGTCCCAACAGGTCTGGCCTAGACCAAGTACCCAGTTAAGCCAACTGGATGCATGTGCTTGGCATGGCTATCTGCGGCATTAATTGGCATTTAATTGATTTAAGCGCTGTTTTAAGCGACGATTAACGTAGCGGTGTCAGAGATCGATAATTAATCGTTTATTTAGACATGCAGCTAATGCTGATTAGGGCTGTCCGCTAGCGGGTCGTCGCATGATTGATGTCAATTTGTCAGCTCTGGTGACAAAATGATTTATTGCCCGCCTCGATAACCGATCGCTGATTGCTCTCTATGCAAATGAGTCGAGCTAAGCTGAGTCGCTGTCATCGACTGCATTGCAGTCACGTTTAATGAAATCGAAAACGAAATCGCAGTTGTAATCGCACCACATCGCCCAACGATTTGCATATGTAATGCGAGTGCTGTAGAGTGAGTGAAGTGGATCGGAGTGAGTGGATCGGAGCGATGTGGACAGGTGATATGTCTTTTCGGACAGTCACCACCCCAAATGGGCAACGGCATTACATGGTCAACAACAGTGAGTGAGAGAGAAAGGAAGAGAGAGGGAGAGTGCGAGGCTTCCTTCTTGCTGGCTGACAGCTTGACAGGGACGCAGTTTTAATCCGCTGCCATGGAATTTATTGCAGATAATTTGGTATGTGTTTTGTTTGCGCATTGTTGTCATTAAGTGCAGCAGCAGCCGAAGCCGCTGGAGCAGCCGGAGCAAGGAGCAGGGTGCCTTTTGAGCATTTCGGGCAATAATTTATTAAAATTGACAGCTTTGTAGGCTCATTTCAGGCGCTATTCATCAGCGGGCGCAACATTTTTATTATGCAACTTGATGGATGATGCGGTCGCCGGTCGCCTGACAGTTCGCCAGCCTCAGAGCCGAGCTCAGGCTTTGGCTGTAATTAGGCAGCAAGTCTTTCGCTTGCCCTGGCCACAACTGCACTCTGAGTCAGCAAGTGCTGACAGGCCGTCTGATGGTCCATCTGTCCGGCTGTCCGTCGTTTGCCCTTTTTGTCGCCTGCTGCATCTGCATCGGCATCGGCATCTCCATCTGCATCTGCATCTGTAACTAGTGGCTAGCATTTAGTCTGTCCACTTACCGCGCATCAAGATCTTCCTCATGCTCTTGCGCAGCACCGTGCAGTTCCAGCGACGATTGCGAAACTGAAACTCGCATTCGCGGAAGCCCAGGTTGATCCCATTGATGATCTCCTTGAGCAGCGCCGAGTCGTGCCGGCAGATGTCAGCCAGCTTGCCGCGCAGACGTCGCGACTTTTTGCACATTAGATTTGGATCGAGTAAAATGTTGGTGCCCTCGGCCCTGGAATATGCAAAAGAAAAGTGAAATATATATTACAACACGCCTGCAATAACAATAGCAAAAAGAAAATATGACCAATGAGCACTTGTTAAAGTAATTAAGTGGATAATGCATTAGCGAGTAAATTTACATTTCTTCACTATTCATGCAGCTAATTGGAAACCCAAAAATCTGGCACCTACATATACTCAATAATCTCTATTCAAGCTATATACGAATTTTTGCCAGGGCGCTGCGTGTGGCGCCACGAAATGGAAAATAGTCGCTGCTCGCATCATTCAGCAGGCAAGTTCATTAAAAATAGTTGCACTTATTTATGCTGGCAGCTAAAAAGTTTCGTTTATTTGCCCAGAATAAGGAAAACACGGCGTTTGAATAGTGCGGCAATTGAACTAAATAGCTGCGGTCGATGCGAACGATGCGGCGTATGCGCAATGTGGCGCAGCACACGCTGATGGTCCACTGGTACACACCAATACATATATGCACTTCCCATACACACACACACACATACAGAGAGAGACAGATGCAGACAGAGGCACAGTTGGCAATTGGTTTGTTTATTGTTATAAGCGAAGCGGCGGCGCTCAATAAAATTCTGGCCCCACTCACACACACACACACACACACACACACATTAACAGAAAAGCAAACACACGCACGCTCACACTCAGCCCACATGATTTTCCCCCGTCAATTTTCTCAATCGATGCAATTTTCGTTTTCATTTTGAATGCCATTTGGAGCAGCAGCGTTAAAATTTAATTTAGCTGGAAAATTAATAATTACACATTGTACGCTGCAATGTGGGTGCAGCAGCCACTGTCGTTGCTGCAGGGCTGCCACTGCTGTCCACGGGCTCGAGTGTTGCACCACCCGCAACTGCCACCCAGCCCCATCTCGCCCCCAATTCACCTTCTGGCGTTTAAATTGTTTTTGTGTGCGCGCCTTTGGCGCTGATTTATGTTTTTCCATTTCAGATTTATGACTTTTTAATAGCTCAATTGTTTTTTCGCCTGCTGCTGCTGCTGCTGCTACTGCTAATATTGTTGTTGTTGTTGCATATTCGCGTGAAATTTGCTTTGCTCGTGAACTTTGCGCAATTTAAGTTGCAAGTTTATGTTTTTTGCGGGGAGCCGAGCTAACCAAATGCCTCAGTCAGCTACTGAGAGACGGAATCGAGTCTGTGATTGATGTGTGCCCGTCTTCCTCTCTTTCTCTCTCACACACACACTCTCTCTCAGTCTGGCTCTCTGCTGTTGTCTGCTTTTTCCAGAAATTTGCGTAAATTTTAACAATTATTGTGTCAGCAGCAACAGCAGCTGACTCAGCCCAAAATCGGCAACTTCAAAATGAGCTAGACCCTCCACAGCCCAGTTATCCCAGTTATTCATTGATGACAAACAGCTGATATGGCCGCAGAGCCAAGCCCTTGCGAGCTATCACATATATTTCACAATTTGGCTTATCGTTCAGCAATGCTAGTAAATAAAACAAAATCGTTTTCAATGACTAGGTCAACTCTTCTAGAACTGCAGAGCTAGGAGAATTTGTGTGTCTAATTACTCATTTGGCTGTGTTAAGGCATTTGGATATTGCCTTCTGAAATATTATTATATATTATTATAAGAAATTGAATTATTATGAATTATTAATTGAATTATTATCGAAATTGTATAGGTTAAGTAATTGAAGCTGAACCACTGTACAGAGAAGTTGTTATTGTACGCGCTAGCACGGGAGTGTCGCTCTCCAAAAGATCGCTCTCTCGCTGCTCGCTGTTAGATGCGCATAGGTGCGCTCTCTACTGTGCAAGCTGCGCTTGCGTTCATGTTAAATTTAATAAATTCAGTACAAAATTGAACACCGGTGCCAGCACTTCGTATATTTCAGAGAGACCGCAAGTTGCTGTCTACTTTTTTTTATAAATATTATACACTGGCCATCGAAGGACCAGACTCCTTTTGGAAGGACATTTTTGGCGCCCCCGGGTGGACACTCTCTGGAATTGAAGGAAGCTGGATTATGGATTTTGTGGATAATCAGGGAAGTACATAAATACATAGAGCACATAGATGACCAAGTAATGCAAGCCATAAATAAATAAATGCATTACTTGAGACATACAAAATATTAATGTATGTACAATCTACGCCTATGTACATTGTGTTGAGCTTATTTCAAATTGAAATTTAAAAAAAAAAAAAATAAATAAAAATAATAATAAGGTGCATATTGACCTTTGATCTGCAAATAATTCAATCTCTATTGCCTCGCATAATCCAAGTTTTCTTTGGCGCCGCTAGTGTGTTACAGTTTTTTTTGCTCATTTTCGTCTCGCACTTTCGTTTTGCGCTTGCGCTCACAGCTCGCTCTCGCTCGCACATAAAAGTTCGTTCTCGCTTGCACAGATAATTGCGCTCTTAATTTACGCTCTTCATTTGCATGCGCGCTTGCAATATCGTTTGCACTCGCGCTTGCACTTATAGTTGCGCTCTCGTTTTACTGTCTCGCTTGCACATATTAGTGCGCGCTCACTTTGCGCTCAGTGCATACTCACTTGCTATATCGTTTGCACTCGCGCTTACACAGCAAATTTCGCTTTAATTTACGCTCATCATTTGCATGCGCGCTTGCAATATCGTTTGCACTCGCGCTTGCACTTATAGTTGCGCTCTCGTTTTACTGTCTCGCTTGCACATATTAGTGCGCGCTCACTTTGCGCTCATTGCATACTCACTTGCAATATCGTTTGCACCCACGCTTGCACACGCAGCAGCGCTCTCGCTTTGCGCTCAAAACGTGCGCTCGTCACTTGGATATATTTTCGCTCAAAACTTGCACTCTCGCTTTGCGCTCATTGTATGAGCTCGATCTGCAATTATATTTTGGCATTCATACCGGCGCGCTCTCGCTTATGAATGCATTGCACTCAGTCGCTCAACAGTCAAATATAACTCAATAGACCACTTGCCCAAATAGTCACTCAACATTTTGGTTGTTGTCTTCGCTATATCGTAACAGTCACTCAAGTATAGTTTAACACTGCCAGCGTAATATATTGAGATTTATTACGATCGCGCGCATTTGTTAACATTCTTGAATTGCTCTTCGCTTGTTGTCATACATTAAGTGAACTTTTATTTGTTTCGATTGAAATTGGTTTCAACTGAGCATCACTTATAGCATCATGACTAACAAGCGAGGAAAGAATAGGTCTATGGACGAGTCATCATCAGAGCGTGTCGAAGCTCTGTTGGCCGTTTACAAAAATGTTACAAACGACATAACACGCATTAATAAATCATTAAAAGATTACACTAAACCAGTAGAGCCATTTGAAATTGAATGTCGACTTGAGATATTGAACCGCTACATAGAAAAGGCCTTTAAGACACAACAAGAGTTGGACGACATTAACGCAGATTTAGTGCCTCGGTCAACGTTAGAAGATTTGTGTGTATCGACAAAGGCACTTCTTATGAAGCGAGGTAGTGATAGCCAACCTAAAAGTGAGAGTCCCGCTAACTCTACAATGATTAGCTCAGTGTCACATTCTAGGAATCTACCGAATATAAAGCTGCCAAAGTTTAGCGGAGAATATTCGGAATATAAGAATTTCATTGGACTTTTTGAGAGTTTAGTCGACAACGAGCCAGGGTTATCAAATATAGAAAAGTTTAACCACTTGTTGTCATGCTTGGACAAAGAAGCATTAGGCACTGTCAAGGCATATCAGGTGACAGATGCAAATTATCCAAAAGCGTTAGCTGCTTTAAAAAATGTGTACGACAATCAGTGTCTCATATTTTTTAACAGCATTTCAAAACTATTTGATCTCCCACACATGTCCGAACCGTCAGCATCATCTTTGCGCATGCTGATAGACTCAGTCCGTGCCATTTACGAATCTCTTTTATCGCTAGGATCTGATAAGCAGATTTCGAATGCCATGCTCATCCATTTGGTAATGATGAAAGTGGACGCTGGCACGCGCTCTAGGTGGGAAGAGAATCTTGACTACAATAAGCTTCCATTGTGGCAAGATTGTGAAGCTGCCTTGAACAGACGGTATCAGCATTTAAGTGCTGAAGACTCATCTGGTCCACGTCGTAAGGTAGCTCAGGATAATAAGAAAAGAATTGGGAAAACTTCTCTAGCTGTCGCTCTGCCAAGTGAGCCGCAGAGTCCCAAATGCGTGTTTTGTAAAAAAGAACGATCACTTCATTCACTCGTGCTCGTCGTTCGCAGCAATACCTTGCCAGAAACGTTTTACGTTCGCAAAGAGCTATCCGCTCTGTATAAATTGTTTGCGAACAGGACACTCAGTGGCTGCTTGCAAATCAGCCCACTGTCGTGTGTGCTCTAAGCCGCACCATACCATACTGCATAGATACAGCTCTGAAGCGGCTCAAAGTAGCTCAGCAGTTGTATCAGCAGTCCCTCGTGTCACTTCGTCACAGATTTCATCTGTAAATCACGCACGGATAGCCTCTGATCAAGTTCTTTTGGCAACTGCAGTTGTGAAGATAAAAGATCAATCTGGATCTTATCACTTAGCTAGAGCTTTATTAGATTCCGGCTCGCAAGTAAATTTCATAACTGAAGAACTGGCAAAACAGTTGAAATTAAAACGGCAAAGATCTGGGATTCAATTGTTGGGCATTGCTAATTGTCAGTCATCTGTTCGGCACAGCGTTCAAACTTCGATAGCGTCCCGAACGGACGACATAGAAATCCGAACAGACTTTGGTGTGTTACGTTCCATTTCGTCGTATCAACCAGAGAAGCACACTGAAGAGATCAAGGTACCTGATAATGTACAATTAGCTGATCCTCAATTCCACAAGCCGCAACGTATTGATTTGTTGCTCGGTGCTGATATCTTTTTGATATATTAAGAGAAGGCAAAATAAAAGGATCCGATAACAACCCAACATTGCAATTGACTGCCTTTGGTTGGATTGTATCTGGTCGCTGCCGAACATTGAATGCAGCTA